TAGCAGTAGCCTGCAGTGCTGCATTTTAACCACTGCGCCACCTTGGAGAGAGAGAGATGGCTGGGAAACTAATGGAATGTTGAAAATGAAGCAAGGCATCAGTTCCCCAAATTTCGTTCTCTCGGGAATCACAGGTCACACATTTTGAATGCATTCTGCAAGTAAGCCCATTTGAGGTAACTTCTGATGTCACAACTCCTGCATTTCACTCAGTTAAAGATCATGACAACAAGAGGTACGGTAGTATATAGATGAAGTGGTAGTAATCACATTATGGAGTAGGATCTGTATAAGCTACTGTTTTTTTCCCTCAAAAAACAGGTTACAACATGTAACTTGCTAAAACTAGTTAACGTAATTGTTACTTGAATAGACAGGGGAGTAAGGGGTCCAGGACCAGAGGATGTGGGGGCACATTTAACAATGCTAGAACTGCCAGCCAGAAATGGTCTATACTTTAATGGTTTGAGTCTGGCTCCACGACACAGAATGAGCTCCTGTTGCTTGTTCCCTGACTCCTGCACACCCAGCATTTTGAAAATGTATCGCAAGTAGATAAATGGGTACTATTCGGTGGGGAAAATCTAGGTGCGTTCGTCTGTGCAAGAGAGGGGAAGCCAGCCCTGGACCTGCCGATGCCGATTATCAAGCTAGTTACTAGATTGTTCTTCTCGTTATACGGTGGAACTTCTGTTTATAGTTTTGATTCTCTTCGAGAATCAATCTTCTAGATCAGTGGTCTCCAACCTTGGCAACTTTAAGACTTGTGGACTTCAACTCCCGGAGTTGAAGTCCACAGGTCTTAAAGTTGCCAAGGTTGGAGACCACTGATCTAGATGACCCTTTTGTGATCATTATTAATTTCCAATTGCACAGATATAGTGTATTATGATATAGAATTCAACGTCTTTTAAGACTGAGGTTTCATTTTTTTTAAATGTATGTCCTTGGAACAGTATAGGCTGAGTACGGTAATTTTCCTTACTTACACTTTCCTCCTTACATACAATTGAAGAGTTTTTAAAATATAATTTTAGGATACATCTTTCTTGTTTAACTTAAATTATCCCCTGAAGTTAAATTTATTTCACCTTCTACAGGTCACACTGAAGATACAGTACCGTTTGGCAGAGATTCAATCTTTTTAGCAGTATAGTTTGCATATCTAAAAGGTTTACTTCTAATGCCTTTGAGAAGGATTTGATTTCATGTTTTGAATTTTACCCCTGTTTTTTTTAAAAAAAAATTAAACCAAACATTATTGCTTTTAAAGTATTTTTAAATAATTTTGTAACGGCTGGAGGCAGCATTAGGTAGAATGCTTAGCATATATATCTTCGTGAAAAAGAAAATAATCTTTGCATATTTCCTAAACAGTTATTTCTCACATGCATTATTCACTTCACTGTTCTATAATAGTTTTATCAGTAATGTTCTTCACTATTTGTGCTGAGTGAAATGGGGGAATAAAAATGAATATTATCCATCCTCAGATTTGCCGGTATGTTTCATACTTCTCTATCATCAGCAGCAGCGTTGATCTTGTTCCAGTACCTAGAAGGAAATAAATATTATCTGTTACTTGGAGAACCATGAGAAATGTGCATCCTGAATATTAAGCAAATGTGTAGAATTGTCACTTAATGGAAAAGGTTTACCTTTTCCCACTTCTTGTGAAAATTATGGGTTTAATACAGGGTGCCATATACCGTGCTCATACCACTGAGATCAAATTTTTTGCCCATTAAAATGAGCTGTCATGTCCTTGTTAATAGCAATAGCAGTTAGACTTATATACCGCTTCATAGGGCTTTCAGCCCTCTCTAAGCGGTTTACAGAGTCAGCATATCGTCCCCAACAATCCGGGTCCTCATTTCACCCACCTCGGAAGGATGGAAGGCTGAGTCAACCCTGAGCCGGTGAGATTTGAACAGCCGAACTGCAGAACTGCAGTCAGCTGAAGTAGCCTGCAGTGCTGCACCCTAACCACTGCACCACCTCGGCTCATTTAAGAGGAAAAGAATTGCGCATCTTCCCTGCTTTTTCCTCCATAGGCTTATTTCTTAGGGTAAAAGTAGTCCTCGAACTACAACCACAATTGAGCCCAAAATGTCTGTCGGGAAGCAAGTTGTTAAGTGAGTTCTTCCCCATTTTTCGATCTTCCTTGCCACAGTTGTTAAGTACTGTAAATCACTGCAATTGTCAAGTTCATACAGTGTGGTTGTTTGACTTCTCTTGTCAGAAGGTTGCAAAAGGTGATTTCACGACCCTGCTGCTGTCATAAGTATGGGTCAGTTGCCAAGCATCTGAATTTTAACCATGTGTTCGTGGGGATCCTACAACAGACATAAGTCCGAGAAACGGTCAAAGGTCACTTTTTTCAGTGTAACTTTGAATGGTCACTGAACAGACTGCTGTAAATCGAGGATGACTTGTAACTCAAACATTACTTCCAGCTATGTAATGTTTCTTCAAGAGATTCTGAGCTATATTCATTTGCATTTATGATATTAACCCCAGTATTATCTGGGGTTACAGGTTTGGTTCACCCGATAGGTAAAACAGTCAATAACAAAGTTACATGTGCTGTAATTTGATGTGGGAATGGCCTTGGGAGACAAGAGGAAGATCCTCAGACCGGATAATCATTATCTAAAAGATATTTCAGGGGAGGAGAAGCATTTCAGAAGGGATCCTCCCTAGTTGCCTGAAGAGTAAAAGGACAGGACGGGAGAAACACTTTCAGCTTATAAGATTCTGTTAACGTAGCCATACAATAAATATACAGTAGAGTACGCATAGTTGTTCTTCTTGCCTGGACTACCTCAAAGAATAACATTTGTTATTATGCTCCCCTTGCCTCCTGTTAGTATGGATACTGGATCTAGTATCTCACAGTTTTAATTCAGTAAGTTTTCCCTTGACCAATTTTCTCCCTAAAATGCATATGCTTTATTCCCAGTTTGAAGAGATATACAGTAGATCGGAAATGCATGTATTGCATCTTAGGTCTATATTGCAAAACAATGACAAGCAAATGTAATTGACTTAATTATCAGTGTAGATATTTGAAAGTCAGTGGGAAATTTAAGTTGTTCTAAAATAAGTTTTCCCTTCCATTTTTCCCATTGCTATAATGCAGTAAAACGTAAGCGGTGAATTAAATTCATATTTCATAAACAAAGATTATGAGAGCTACAGATCAGAAATATCTCACTTCTTTACTGCATTCCCTTTCACACGATCATTATTGTTTTTATTGAAAGAGGAATACATACACAGATACACACACACACACACACACAAATACACACAGGAAAACAAAGTGATGTGGTTCCCTTAGAGCACACTGATCTCTTCTACATGATCTATCATAACTTACCCTGATAGCATTTAATGCAAAGCCATTGAAGGGCAGATGATTAGAATACTTTCCATTAGTCAACAATACTTTAAGGAACATGTATAAAAACTGGATGGAAAGAGAATAATTCAGTATGCTCTTTTTTTAAAATCCAAATAATAGTGCAGCTTTTCTAATGATATATATCCCTCAGTGTTAGAAAGGCATTGTTGCATGAATAGATTGTTCTGAATTTTCTAAATCTAGAGAGTTAAAAATAGATATATAAGTAATAAGTAAAATAAGAAATCTGTAATATAGATGTGCAATTTCTTGGGAAGGAGCTGTAAATCTGTCTGAATGACATGCAGTTTTGATTATAGTAGTGCTTTATAAGTGGGACTGCTTTGCAATACACCGAAAATTTTCATTTGGTGCAAAATACACCAGCTAAATTCTTAAGTGATATTTATTAGACAGAATACATATTGCCACTTCTTAATGGTCTTAACCATTAAACTATATCTGAATGTCTACCTTTGGCATAAAAACACAAAATCATTTCTCTGTAATCACAAAAATTCCTTTTTGGTTTTGGCACCTCTTACCACCAGGACAGGAACTTTTTTTTGCACTTAAAATAGACATAAAAATAATTCATTACTATGTTAATTTATGACACAAATGGCCAATCCATGGGCCTCAGATAGAACCAGTCCTTCTGTTCATAGCCCTCAAACTTCTCCAAAGTGGGACGTTTTTTTTTGCTTGTCTGTCAAATGTGTGCCATACATTATGCCTCTTTAAAGTCCTTTAAAAATTCAATTCCCCCCAAATCAGTTGTTTTTCCATGTAGAGTGTACTTAAATCCAGTGATATTTGTGTATATTGATCTTTGTATGAGAATGCAGTCTTAATATTTTGATATTTTAATTTTAAGATACATGATAGATAGATAGATAGATAGATAGATAGATAGATAGATAGATAGATAGATAGATAGATAGATTCTTTCCCTATTTAATGACTTCAAATCCATCATTTAGTCTTTATTTCTTATTGACTTGTCTAGAGGAAAGATTCCACAGAAAGAATTGGAGACACTATTTCCTGGGAAGAGTGCTGATTTTACAAGTGAAAACTTTTCTGCTGCTTGGTATTTAATAGAGAACCATTCAACAGCAAGGTTAGTGTGAATTTTGTGTTAATATTTCTTTTTCATATTTAAGGAACATCAGCAATACATTTTGGCAAAGAATTGTGGGTGATGTAGCTGCAAGCCAGCCCCTCTGAAACGGATGAGACTTACGATCTGCATGAACTTAATTGCATTCCTTTAAGTGGAAACTACATTTTTCTAATTTAATCTGGATTCATGTCTCTCCTCAGAATTGTTTTTCAGTGTGGATGTATTATAAAACAAAATAAAGAATGCAGGTTTTTAAAAACAGACATTTTTACAATAGGCAATGCCTTGATATTAGCACACTTTTAAATGGCCCTTCAGTGTTTTACTGCTTACTTAGGTGAAAAATTGTGTTTCCTATTTCCCAATTCCATTGTAACATCCATTATTCCATAATTTCCCATATTTGAAACAAAAAGCTTTTTTTTTCTCCTGGAATTCAGTCATCTAGACAGTAGCCATAATTCATAGTTGGAGTTCATTGTTATATATTTACTCATTTAAATTGAATATCCCTTCTCTTGGCATGTTTGCTGAACTAAATACATTTGTCATTATGACAAGAATAAACAAAAGTACAAGGATAGAAAAGCGAAAAATTAAAAGGCAAAGATCCAATTATTGTTTTAAACCAGTAACAGCAACAAGGAGATGACAGATTTGTATGAATGACATTTCAGTCCGCTATATCGTTCAGTTGTAGGCGATTTTGTTAATTTGTCTATTTGTCATCTTCCTATTTTAGGGAGAAAGATTCTCCGTTTCTCTCTCTTTCTTTCTCTCTCTCACACACATATGCCACACACAGTCTCACTTCCTCTCTCCGGCAGAAACACATAGAGTTAAAAAAAAAACATTTTAATGACCAATACAATATCTCTTGTTTCATACTATTTAGCAGATACTATACAAAGCTTTTGTTGGCATGGAGACCAACAATATTCTGCTTTTTCTACCTTTCCTGAATTATTTCCATGTATTCCTTATCTTCCTAAAGGTGAAGTTTTCATGAGTTACCAAACATTGAGATAGTCTTTCAATTTGTATAAAAAAGCCTCCACTGGATTGGTGGATTACAGCAAGTCGTTCTATTTTTTTCTCTAAATAGAAAATTGTTGGGCTCGATATTTTATTAGGATAAATATGACCTGTCATTTCATCTTTGGTGTCTGAATGCCGTCTTGTCTTTTTCTCTCTTGATTTTAGTTTTGATCAGCTTAAAATGGCAGTGATAAATCTGAGGAAACAAGCCAATAAGAAAAACGAGGGCAATCTGCAATATGTCAAAGGAGGCCTCAGCACTTTTTTTGAAGCACAGAATGCCTTGTCAGGTAAGTCTCACAGACGACAAAAGGAATCTACAAATTCTGATGGACTGAAGAAATCATAAGGGTTGCAGTGACCTAAGCCACTAACAGCAGTGAAAATATCTGATACCTTCTATACAGCTATACATCAATTGAGAGAGAGAAAAAATCTGTGATGTTTCCTAAAGTACCTGTAATTTGCCATTAGTAAGGATGCAGCCGATTATATTTCTGTATCTGTTCATTCTACTGTGGTGTTTGAGTCTTCTGCACTATTGAAGTGTGAATCAGATGTGTATCTTCTGTGATTAAATACATAAGTAATCCCAACTATTCTACTAAATTTTACCACAGTTATATCACATTTCCTAAGCAAAAGATATTTACGTTCATTTATCTTTGCATTCAATCTGAAAGATACAAGAACAGCATAGCATTCCACAGTTTTACATCTGGCAGTGCGTAGAATTAGGAGGACAAATGTATGACAATAAAGCAAGAAGCTTTATTCTTGAAATAGTTTTAATATATTATATGTACTGAAATGTGAACCAATAGTTTTAATATATTATATGTACCAATAGTGAAAATGAACCAATAGTTTTAATATATTATATGTACTGAAATGTGAAGATGATTCCTTCACTCATTGGGTAAGAACTACATTTCACAAAGGAAAATTTATTCTGTTCAACGTTTCCTTTTGGGGTGTAGTATTGTTTTATTAGCTATCACTTCTGTCAGTTATACATAATTTTGTCTATCGCTTTTCATTACATTGTATATTTTTTTTGTTTGCCAAGAGTGCTCTGTTAGTCATGTGATCTATGCATTTTTTCTAATATCTATTTGGAATTTCATAGGAATACATTTCTAGTTTTAGAAAAAGTATTAAATGGGCAAATAATGAACAATTTAAATCATTGCAGCTGAAATATCTAAAACTGAAGAAACTTAGATTCAAAGATTTTTCAAGCTAAAATAGAATGTTTATTTCCATCTTTGCTTGAAATTTTGTTTATAATTCTTAGGGTTTGATAATGTAAAGATGTTACTGTTACATGATACCAGTGTTACAATGTAGCTGAAGAATTTGTGAAAGGATTGAAGATTTCACAGACGTTCCATAACATTGTGAAGTTGGCATCATCTAACAGCAACATCTTTAGAAAATGCATATCAAGTCTAGGATTGTTCTGTCACGAAGGGAGCAATTTCTCAGTTTGCAGAAGCTCATCTTCCATTTGAGATTTAAAACAGTGTTTTTGAAGATATTTTACATTATAAATTGCTACAGTAGTTTTAAAATAGGAAATCATGTATGAGATGTGAAATGCAATATAAGAAAACATATCTTTTTGGCATATTTTTGTTCTATATAATATTTTTTAATTCCTAATATTCGGGTTGAAAATGAGACCTGAAAAACAAAGCTCTCATTTTCCAGAAATTATTTGTATTTTGTATTTGTATTTGTATTTGTGTTTATTTGTATGCTGCCCTTTTCCCTGGGGGGACTCAGGGCGGCTCACAATCCAAAGGAAGGGGGGAAAACAGACTTTTACATATAAGACAGTACATGATTAAAACGCAACATTCATACCATTCGGGCGGGTTACAATCTTTAGCCCCAGGCCTGACGGGATAGCCAGATTCTAAGGGCTGTGCGGAAGGTCTGGAGGGTGCTGAGGGTACGAAGCTCCACGGGGAGATCCTTCCATTGGGTCGGGGCTACCACCGAGAAGGCTCTCCTCCGCGTGGTGGCCAGTCGGCATTGGCCAGCGGATGGAACTCGGAGGAGGCCTAAACGATGAGATCTAATGGGTCGTGTGGAGGTGATCGGCAGTAGGCGGTCTCTCAAGTACCCAGATCCACTACCATGGAGGGCTTTATAGGTGGCAAATAGTGAAGTTATGGTGAAGTTAATGAAGACTTTAACCTGTCTGTGATGGGAATGACTTCAATGAATATTCTTGCAGTGCATTGTCATTGAGTACAATACTGCAAGTGACTAAACCAGAAGTCAAGCAAGACTTCCATTGATTAAACTAGATTGTTTACAATGTTATTTCAGTATCCATCTCAAAGACATGGCTACCTATGGAAATTCATGAACAGAATTCCATTCTTCATATTACTTCAAATATCCCTTTCCACTCCTGTCCTCTAAATTGTACTACAGGGTAGCCAAGGGAAATACGTTTAGTAAGAACCTGTGGAGAAAGGAAGCAAATAATGAAAGTTGGAATTATTTTCATATGGAAGTTTACAGTGCAAACGATTCCTTCCAGGATTTTTTGTTTTTGTATGTACGTGCACTCTGGGGTAATGTAGGAAGGGCCCCAGAGCATCACAGCCTTCAAGAAGACATGGCACCTTGATGTTTCAAGTGCTTCCAACACTTCCTAATCCTCACCACCAAATAGTTCACAGACCTTAAGAGCTACCTTTGAAAATTTATCATCAGATAAAAACAAATAATAGAGCTAAGGAGTGGGAAACTGCTAGAGTTAAGGCAATGTTCCCGACTACTGTTCGTGTAGACCAGTGGTCGAAAAAAGAATGGAAGAGGAAATTATACAGTAGTGAAATAACCGTGACCCGTCAAACCTGCGGTCGACAAAAGCGCGCTCGGCGAAAGCGCGTACGTGACGTCATCACAGCGTGCCGAAAAAAATTAAAAATTGAAATAAAAATAAAATTAAAGCAAGCCGATTCACATAAAGGTAAGGGTTAGGTTTTGGTTAGGGTTAGGGTTAGGTTAAGGGTTAGGGTTAGGTTTAGGGTTACGTTAAGCGTTTAGCGTTAGGTTAAGGGTTAGCGTTAGGTTTAGCGTTAGGTTAAGGGTTAGGTTAAGGGTTAGGTTTAGGGTTAGGTTTAGGGTTAGGTTTGGGGGGGTTAGGGTAAGGTTTTCGCTTTAATTTTACATTTACCGATCACAGCGCGATGTTTTCGTGATGACGTCACGTACGTGCTTTCGTCGAGCGCGCTTTTGTCCACCGCGGTTTTGTGGTGGAACCGAAATAACAGTTATGTTTGATTTGTCATATCCCAAAATGCCATATTAGTATTTCTGACTCCTTCAAATTAGGTATATATGACCATGCCTTTCTTTGCCTGCATAATCTAGCATAAAAGGTATTTGCTTCTTCAAAGCCAAGTAACCGACGAGAGCTTTTAGCCAGTGCTAAGGAGCTACTTTAAGCTCTACACAAGAAAGTGAAATATATAGCAGAACTGCCATGGTAATTAGAAGACTAAATAAGAGAATATACTCATGCCCAGATGATTAACTTTACTGCCAAAAATCATAGCATAAGCTTAGCAGCATAGGGAAGTTTAGAAGTCTGGAGGGATCTGGCTCTTATCATAATGCCTGTGTCACTAGATCACAAATTATCTTGTAACAAACATGCGCTGTTTAAATCTATGACTGTAGCTCGTTCATCCATTAAAATAGTTGAAATTTAACAAGTTGTTTTATTTCAGCTATCCATCAAAAACTGGAAGAGGATGGAACAGAAAAAGTAGAAGGATCCATGACACAAAAACTAGAGAATGTTCTGAACAGTAAGTTTTGTACAAATATAAATATAAATAATATATATATATAAATATGTATATATTTTCCAGGCTACTTCTTTTATTTTAAAAATAATAAAAATGAAAATTTCCCCACCATTTGTTTCTAAATTTTAAGACTGTATAAAACTTGATAATTTGCTACTTGAATTTTGACAGCGACGCAGAGACTGATGCTTGAAATTTTTAACAAAGTAAAAAATATTCTGATGCCCAGTAAGCCTTTAACAACATAGGGGTAACGTGGGTCTATTTGTTTAAACCCTATCGTTTAAATTGAGGAAATTGGTTTAAATAAATTGTGAGTTGAATCTATGTGACTGGTTTTTAAAGTAAGGTTTCCATAGAAAAAGGTTACGTTTCAAGCCAGATATGATAAATGCAAATTTATAGTTTACTTTTAGGGCAAATGGGAGTCTTGAAGATGAATTCAAAGTCATCAACCTTTTTATTTCTTTAGCCTCATCTATACTGAATTTCAGGTTTTAGATGTTTTAATTTTTGCAGTTTCTTTATAGCTTCAAAAAGTTTTTATATCTGACTAGTTTTTTAACACATTTAATTCAGTTATTGTAGAACGGTTAAGATTTTCATATAGTTTTTTTTTAATGAGTAACTCTTCTATAAATGAAAATAATAAATTTATATTTTTATAATGGCATTTTGCATATATATTTATGACAGACTTTCAAATTAGTATTTTTAAATTTTTTGATGTAGAATTAATCAAATAACCTCAAAATGACACATGTGAAAAAGATAAGAAAATAGCAATAAAGTCTTAGATATACCACAAAATACAGTTTCTCTAATTCACTGTTTTTCTTTGCATAGCTTTGAATATATTAGCTTTCTGTTCAGATTAAATAAAGCAGCATGCCTCACACCCAGAAAAGGAAGTGGTTCATTAATTTTGCCTATACCTTTAATAATTCCACACTGCCTCTAATACTGATGATTTGGACCCCATTAATGGAATGGCTGAATTCAGGGAAAGAAATGCCTGAAAAATACTAGTGGATAAAAATACTCTCTTCATAATAGTAACGAGTTCCAGTCTAATGAAATACAGAAATTAGCAGAGTTGGGCTGATGTGCAAGGAAGTTGCTTTGGATCTAATCTGCATTCTTGTTCCTTTTCTCTGTATCCCTCTGTGTCATGAAATATTGTGCAGAAGGATTGGAAGATCCTCTAAGGCAGTGTTTCTCAACCTTGGCAACTTGAAGATGTCCGGACTTCAACTCCCAGAATTCCCCAGCCAGCTGGCTGGGGAATTCTGGGAGTTGAAGTCCGGACATCTTCAAGTTGCCAAGGTTGAGAAACACTGCTCTAAGGAACGTGAGAAGTCCTGAAGTGCTGCAGGGTAAATGAGTGAATTGGCACCAATCCCTGCCTACCATGTCCTTTCAGCAGAGACCATGCCCCAAATCACTTTTGGCTCTGTGACTAGCCATTAACTTTCAATTGACGCATTTCTTTCGGTTTCTGGCAAGGAAGAAAAGTTATCTGGAAAAGAATTTTATTTTCCATGGGTCTTGGACTGACTTGATCTTTCTTAGGAAATCAGGTTAACGCTAGAGAGACGGTGTATACAATACATGGACAATGGATTCCATCAAAATTAAGCAATTGAAATATTTAAAGTAGCAGCTGTACGCAATGTCGGATTTCACTTTGCCATTTTATTCAAGAGACTTGAACGCATCTAAAAGAAACAGAATGTGAAGGGAACTGCACTTGCTTCCTTTCAAGAGCTTCCCCCCCCTCCATATACATATATACATAAACACCAACTTTTTTTACAGAAATATTTCGGTGCAAGAAAATACACATTTGTGTGCATGTTCAGATTATTTTGTTAACTTTTTTTTGGAGAGAAAATCCTACAGAAGCTATTTTCCTTTGTTCGGTTTCTATCCTGATCTGAAAGTTCTTTCCCTTAAAGTGTTATTAGCAGTTTTAGAATATGAACATAGTCTGTGAAAGAGAGAGAGGTGGAAATATTTTTTATCCATAAGCCTACTTTTTGTGTCATTATATGTATTATGTACAGCTTATAAATAGAATTACTTCATTTCAGCCATACAAAACATATGTATGTTTGTATGTTCCTAACTAATTTATCTCAATATTTAGGATTTTGGGTGGAAAGGAAACATACTTTTAAATAACAATAATAATATGCATTTTATTATTTTTTATAGAAGAATAAAAGTAATAATTTTGAGAATTCTATAAAGATGAGGTGAAATTGCTAGTATAAAATTAACTGAACTCATATTATACCAGTCCTTTTGAAAGATATGTTATATATATATATATATATATATCTGTTAATAAAAATTAGAAGAAACTTTATTTTATCTGAAAGCAACAGTAATTTGTACCCAAAGCATTAAACTTTGGAAAAGAGACTTTAATTAAATACATTGGGAATATGGTGCTTTAGAAAGTGAATTTTTATTGACTATTTTTTCTTTGTGAACATCATTTTTATTTTCAGTAAATCTGATTTTAAAAAAAATTCCCTAATTCCTGGTCCTTTTTACTCAAATGGGTGCTTTATACTATTATTAGAAGGATTTTTGCAGATATTCTTTTTAAAAGCAAGGTCCGTGTGGCTTTTAGCCTTCAAAACATTTGGGGAAAAGAGAAAAATTATCCTAATGCTCTTGACGTTTCCCAAGTATGATTATTCATGGTTTAAAAATTTAATATTAAATAACCAAAATATATCAAATTTGAAAGAGTAGACAAATAATGCCATGTAATTACTGTTTTGTTTTTATCGAATACCTTTTTAAAAGCATTTCTTGAGCATTTCAATTATTTTACTATTTCCTAGTTGGAGTGTTATTTTCCTTCAACTATTCATGTTTGCTAATCTTTTTAAATCAGAAGACATTGAAAAATAAAATGATTAGCAATATCACGTTTGAATATCAAGTCATTTTGTCTCCCTCTCCCTACCAAATAAAATGCAGTAGGACCAATTCTCTTGACAAAACAAAGTTTCTTGCATTAGGGTCTTGAAACATCAACAGTGTTTAAATGCTATTTAGATATAACAATTATTTTACAAAGGCTACTTTTAACATGAGCAGGCCACCCACAGTGTTGACGAGAGAAAATGGCATGCGAGCCACCCAGCGAGACTGATGTAATTTTTTCATCTTTGCTTAAATTATAGTCACTAGACCAGATAATGTAGAAAGTTTTACAGGCAGCCATCAAAAGGGATAGAAACATTCACTTTTTTTTTCTGGTAAATTAAAGATAAGTCGCAAGTTGGGGGGAAATTAACATATTTGACACATCTTTATTATGCAAAGGAAAAGCAAGGGCTTTTCTTCGGTAGGGTTTAACTCTGAAACATGCCCATCCAATTTTAAAGACTAAATGCTCTTAATTGTAACAAGTAAACGTTTGAATGTTTTATTATTTGTATGGCTTAATGCAGAATTTCTCAGCCCTTAGAATTATTCTCACATTCCTGCTTGAAACCGTACAACGTTGCTCAAACTCATGGAATTTGATACAGAATAGTGTCAGAATTTGTGATGTGACTAATGGTTTAAATCATTATTCTAATGAAACGTCCTAATGGAGCTTTTCAGTGAAAAGGAATAAAAAGTCACTTTCAGACATATTTTGTTCAAAAGTCACAATATTGGTACTATGTCTTTCCTGTACTCAGTGAATTCTAAGCTACACTGTTCGTATCAGTAAAATTAAATTCATGCTTATTTCATTGTGCTCTGTTATGAAAAGAGAATATTAGTAATGATCATATTGCCCTAAAGACATCACTGAAATTATAATTCAGTTCTGTAGCCAAAGGAAACTCTAAAGTTACGCAATGAATTTCAAGCATTTGCTGCAGGAATGGAAGTTGTTTTAAACGCACTTTGGTTTCTATCGCGCAAAAAAATCCTAAGTAGTAAATATTGTTTCAGAACATTTCTAAGCCAAAACATTTCTAATATAAACACTTATCATTGTTGATGTATGTTTAATTTGTATTAAAAGCTTGACAAATTTTTGATTAAATTTAGCAAGAGCTGCAGTTTATCTACTTTTTCGTCTCCTTTTCTTAAAAGGGGCGAGCAACACCGCAGATACATTGTTCCAAGAGGTTTTGGGCCGCAAAGACAAAGCCGATTCAACAAGAAATGCCTTAAATGTTTTACAGCGCTTCAAATTTCTTTTCAATCTTCCATTAAATATTGAGAGGAACATTCAAAAGGTACTAACATTACAAAATGGAAGTTAAAGTGTTTTGCCCCCAAATTTCCAGTACAGATTTCTTAAAACTTGTTTTTATGTTTTTAAGGGAGATTATGATGTTGTCATTAATGACTATGAAAAAGCAAAATCACTATTCGGAAAGACTGAAGTTCAAGTCTTCAAAAAATGTGAGTTTGGCATTTTGTTAAACTTTTATTTTAATTTTAGTAGGGAAAATTAATAATATAAGAACAAACTCAGAATAGGAATTCTACTACTTTGCTGAGTAGTTTTATCTTCTGCTTATATAGTACTTGTAGCATTTGAAATATGTTTTAAACTGTGTGGCAATGTTTCTGCCTCAGAAATATTTTGTACTGTGCATAACAAGACTCGAAGCTGGTAATTTTCAGGTTATGTTTCATAAGAGAGATTTTGTGGATGTATTTTTAATGAGTTCAAAAATGGCAGTTTGCAGTTTATAAAAGTTTAATGCATATTTGCTTGGGATAAAGTTAAAACTGAAATTTCTTAGTCTCAAAACAGACAAAGAGCTCTTGTTATTCTGAAAGTACAGAATGTATTGATCAATTAATAGTTTCATGAAAATCGAAATGAATTGAATTATAATATAAATTAAAATTTTCTGACTAAAAGATCAGAGAAATTTAGGGAGACTGGAGAGCCAACAAGTTCATATACAAGACAATGATATAACAGTGATACTGGAGTAAACAGTGATACTGGAGTCATTTGAATTATAAAGGTTATAAAAATAACTTTATACTTTGGTAATTAATGACATTTATTTTAGAGTTAATTATGGTGTTGTGTTTTAAAATGGTAGATTATGCTGAAGTTGAAACACGAGTTGAAGCATTAAGAAAACTTCTTCTGGATAAATTACTTGAGACACCATCAACGTTACATGATCAAAAACGCTACATAAGGTTACCTTTTTATTTTTATTTTAAAAAAATACGTTCTTTATATAGGCAGAAACATTTCCTTGCTAACATCCTACTAAAAAACAATTATATATACTGTATATTTTGTATCTAGAATACTTTTCTGCAAACCGAAGGGTTCTTATTATTAATATTGTATAAAGGGAACAACAGTACAAGCTTTCCATTTCAAAGAGCAGCTGAGCTGGCAATTTTAGCTTTTCTTTCTTATTCATTCTCAGACTATAGCACTACCTCCTACATTGCTTTCAACACTATAAGCAGTTTTTATTTTATTCATTTCTGCAGATTTTGAGCGTTTTCTAGAGTCTGTACTATATTACACCGTAGAATTTCATTTTCGGGGCATGTAGGATATGGTTCACTGCTCCATTTCCTATATTAAATAGAAATAGCATTTTTTATGTTTAAACATTTTAAAAGAATTTGGAGAAAATCATATTTGAAAGTGTGCTAAACTTTGAAAGGTTTGAGAACTTGTCTCACTGATATAATGCATTCCTTTAATATAAGCCAGCCTAGAATCATTGTTTGTTCTATGAAGTTATAGAGCATTTCAATGATATTATCTACTTCAGTCAGTTATTCAGTGCATCTCCTGGTAGGGGAAAAGAAAGGGACATTCTGTTCTTTACTCTCCACTCTTCTGGTCTTTATCCTATTATTAAAAAGAATAATGAAGTATGGATTACTGCATTAATCAATGTCTCATTGCCATTTAACCTGCATACTTCTTCATGCTGGCAATCCTAATTCTAAGAAAGCATGTAAAAACCAATAATAGGTTTGAAAGAGGAAATAATATTTAAAACCATTGCAGCAGAAGTGGAAATTTGTATGAGGTTTGAACTATAAGACCTTCTGAAGCACTTTTGTTTATATCTCATCCCATATATCCTGAAACCTCTTTATATTTTATATAGCGAACAGTTCAAACTATACACTTTCATGCTGTCTTTCTCTAAATACATACTGTAAGGAAGAAGACAGTGCTGATTTATTTGAAATTCGTCCCCTATATGCATTACAAAATTTGCAGAACACCAGCTAACCTATTTTTTACAGTCAAAATCTTCCCCTAAAGAAACTGCTTCTTCACTTTTCAAAAGAATAATATTGTAATATAAAATGTCCAAATTGAGCATTGTTCTCTTTTAAAAAATCTAAATCACAAAATTTTTGACTTAATGGTTTATTCTTTCCTTCAGTTATGTAACATGTAGGACAGATTCCCCATGGCTGGCTTGATTTCAAAAAGGGGAGCTTTGCTTACTAGTACACAGGTAGTGCAACCACAGTTGAACCCAAAATTCCCATGGTTAAGCCAGGCAGTTAAATGAGATCTGTCCTGTTTTATGACTTTTTTGTTATCAAGAAAATCATTACAGTTGTTAAGTGAATCATGCAGTTGTTAAGCGAATCTGGCTTCCCCTATTGACTTTGCTTGTCGGAAGCCAGCTAGGAAGGTTACAAATTATGATCACGTGACTGCAGGACAATGCAACTGTCATAAATACATGCCAGTTGCTAAGTGCCTGAATTTTGATCATGTGACCATAGGGATGCTGCAACAATCCTAAGAGTGAAACCTGCTCATAAGTTGCGCTCTTGTAACTTCTAACAAATGGTTGCAAGTTGAGGACTACCTGTAGTTTTGAATCTCCATTTCAGGCATCTCCAGGAGAGGAGCAACAGAACTGCTGTAGGTTAGAATAAGTACTGAGTAAGATGGTCAACAAGTTTGATCTGGTATAAAGTATATTCTATTGTTGCTCTTTTGGGTAAATAACAAAAACAAATAAAAACAAGATTAAAAACAAACAAATGAGTAGATTCATGCAACATTTCCCTAAAAGTTCTTAAAAAGGTCAAATTTAAGAGCCGAGGTGGCGCAGTGGTTAGAGTGCAGTACTGCAGCCACTTCAGCTGACTGTTAGCTGCAGTTCGGCTGTTCAAAA